GCGCAGGGCGCTGGGCGGCGGGCGCGGGGCGGCGGCGGCCCCGGGCGGCTCTCCCACTAGGGGTAGCTGTTGCCTGAACGCCGGAGCGCTCCCCTCTTGCCGCTCGCCTCGCCCGGCGCAGACCCGGCCGCCGGGCGCACCCGTCCCGTGCGTCCCCGGACGTTGCTCTCTGCCCCGGGAACGTCGAGACTGGAGCGCCCGCGCTGAGCCACCTTCGCTGACCCGGAGCGCTGCGGCTCGACTCACCGCGGAGGCGCCGGGACGCGGGAAGTGCGTACTCTCAACGGGGAATGTGTGTGGAGGCTTTTAGGGTGCGGGGCAACTCCCCAACTCCGTGGGGCCGGGGTCGGCCCTGCCGCCGTGTCCGAGAGCTGCTGATGACTCGCTGCGCGCGGCGCGGGGTCGGCGACTTGGGGCGGCGGGGAGGGGAGTACCTTGACCTGGGGTCCCCGAAGCCGGGAGCCAGGCCCGCCGAGCCTCGGCCCGCCTTGCCCCCCGGGGCGAGGCCTGGACTCGGTCGCGAGCGATTTGGACCCCTGGGGAGTCGAGCCTCCCGGGACGCCCTCGCGGTCGCGGGGCCTCGTCTGGGGCGGCGGTGGCTGAGCCCGAGTCCGGCGCCACTGCCGCCTGCGTCCCGTGCGCCACCCGCCCCGGGGACCGGCCGCCTAACTTCTTCCCGGGACGGAGACAGCGCTCGCGCCCCGGGCGGAGGTGGGAGCTCGCTGGGCCGTATCCTGCGAGGGCACCGCTCTCGGCGGCGGCGGCGAGGACACAAGTCCGGCGGAGTCAACCTCGGGGCAAGGAGCCCCCAACCCAGGACTCACCGGGCCCCAGCGGGCGCGGGGGGAGATGCCCATCTTGGGCAGAGGTCCTCTCCTCCGGTTTTCGCGGCCTTGGCGGGACCCTCTGACCCGCGAGCTCCCACCTGGGACCGTGGCTCCAGCCGGTCAAGACCCGAGTGGAAGGAAGGCCGGGGCGTGAAGGTAGACCCTTTGCTCTTTCTTCCAGCCGGGCGATTTCTCTGCTGCCTGGGGTGGCGGCGTTGGGGGCTGCGCAGCCGGGGAACTTCCCACCCAGAGGAAAGGCAGCCTCCTCCCCGCTCTTCTCAGCGGCCCCGCACCGCCCCTCACCACCGTGGGTAAGGGGGGGTCTTCAGGTGGGTTAGGGAATCCTCCCCGATCCAAACCTGGCTGGGGGGGGGTGGCGTCCCCCCTGCCTGCTCTCCACCCCCGCAGGGCACCTCTGAGCTGGCAGATCGGTTCCTTGCCTTATTTTTTTTGCGGGGGAGGTGGGGGGATAGGGAGAGAAGTCTTCTACTTGGCTGGTCTCCGAGAGGCGTTTTGGGGGCGCGAGGTTGCCCCTTCCCGGGCAGGGGCTGAGAAAGTCCCAACTTTTGTTGCACAGACCCTCCAGCCCTGCTTCCTTGATTTCTGTGGGGTGCCAGTCTCGGACCTGTGCCCTGCCCCTACCCACACAGGAACAGGGCTAGGGGCATGGGGCAGTCCCCCCTACCCCCTTTCCACATTTAGCCTCAGAAAATTAAAAAGCCACCATGGGCTGGGAGAGCCTTCGGAGCTGCCTTGGATGTAGCGGTGGTGGTGGTGCGTGGGGAAGACGTGGTCTGGCACAGAGGCAAGACTGGTCCCTCTGGGCCCTCCGTGGGCATCCAGCGAGACCACCAACCCACAAGCCCTCTGGCCCCAGGGAGGCTCAGGACAGCAGTGCTTGCCCTCGGGGCTGTCAGCTGTTCCGGTGGATGTGCTTCTGTTCCTTGGGCTGGCAGGCTACACCTCACACCTTGGGATTCCAGGACATCGGACAAGGTGCTCAGGGCCATCTGGCTCCCACAGACGCTAGTGCAGGTGAGGACAGGCCCAAGGTCCAGGTGGTACTGGCCTTTGGGACACAGACCCTGGTGTGGTGACTCACTCCAGTGCTCTGTGCCTCCGCCCCACTCCTCCCTCCCTCTGTCCTCCCAGGCAGCCCCTGCCCCCTTCCCCACCTCCCCAGGGCCCTTCCTACCAGCTGCCCATCCTGCCCTGACCTGTCCTGGCCCAAGGCCAAGTCCTTCCTGGGACTCTGGGAGCACTGAGCCTCGGGCCCAGGGGGACCAGAGTTGGAGCTGGGGCCGTGCCCACGCCACTGGGCTGGGCAGGCTGGCCTCCTTCCTGCCTGCCCTCCAGCAGCTCCAGCAGGGGGCGGGCAGGGGAAAGAAAGGGAAAGACAAGTTGGACTGGGTCCATTTGGTGTCCAGGAGCAACTTGGACACGGGCTAGGGGGAGGGGCAGACAGCTGGGGCCCTGGAACATCCGGGGCGGGGTGGGGAGGGCCTCCCCTCTTCCCAGACTGTACTCCGGGGCCTGGATGCCCACACAGGGAAGGCTTGTCTCCGACCCTTCTGCCACACTGCCCCGTGTGGGGCTTGGTGGGTGGGAGTGCGGTGGGCACGGCCTCTGTCTGCCTACGGGTAGAGCAGCTCCCAGCGCCAGGGAGGTTGACGCTGAGACTTACCATGGGGCGGGTCCGGCCCCCCTACAGAGGGCCTCCTGGAGCTTTAGGGAGGGGAAGGGGCAGCCCGCACACCTGGCGAAAAGGGTCGCAGAGTGACGGCTGTGTCCTTGCCCAGAGTCATAGTGACCTGGCTTCGGGGCCTCAGCCCTCCTTGGCTACTGACTCTGTCTCCCCTGCCCCCTCCACTGGCCTCCTGATGCTCTGGGAGATGCCAGGCCCTGTCCTGCCTCTGAGCCTCCTCTCATGCTGTTGCCTCTACCCTCCTCCCTCCCCTGGCGGCACCCATTTTTTCTCTTCCTCTGCCTTCACCTCCACCTGGGTCCAGCCTGCTCCGTCCCCGCTGGGGGAGCCGAGCCCTCCCTCCTCGCCCTCCTGTGCCCTCTCCCTTCGTCATGGCCGCATCCCCAGCCCGGGCATGTTTCACCACTAGTTTCTGTGTCGGCTGCTACTCAGGCCCTGCTGGGATCCTCTGCAGTGACTAACATGCACCCAGCACCCCGGAGGAGCCCAATAAACCTTTGTGAAATGAGTACCTGCGCGCAGTGTGGACTAATTGAAAACTTGTTTCAGGCGAACTTCAAGATATTTCATCCTGCCCTTCTGCACGCTGGCAGGCAGCTGTGAGCGAGGTAGGGCATGTCTGCGGCTGGGCAGAGTGAGGACTGGGGCTGTGGGCAGGCAGTCCCCGGGAGGTCCCCTTCAGGCGTGCTGTCTGATGAATCCACCTGTCCCCTGGCCGCTGGCCCATCAGTTTCCCTTCCTGGGATTAGCAGGTCCTCCCACGGGTACCCGGGCCGTCCCCCAAATGTGCTCACCCTTTTCTTTTGCTTCAAGAATGATTTCTTCTTTCCAAACCTCCCCTCTGACCCGACCCCTCTCGACTCCAGCTTGGCTCCGCTGAAGGGTGGGCGCCCTGCAGGTGGCTTGGCGGCTGCGGCCTCAGCGGTCTGGGCCTCGAGGTGTCCTTGACACAGAGGGTCTCCATCCGTCTTCACGTGACACACCCCGGCAGGGCACCCGCCCGGGAGCTGACGGTGGGGCCCTGGGGCGGTTGGCAGCCTGGGACCCAGGCCCGGAGAGCTTGCTGGGGCCCCAGAGCTTGGATGGAGCAGGTCTGTCGGCAGCATCCCAGGACTGGGGGAGGCCCGGGGCTCCGGGTCGAAGAGAGGGGAAGGCCTGGAGGTGAGGCCCTGGCTACCTGCTGGTGACCTGGCTGTGTCCTGTCCCTCCCTCTGGCCTCATCTGCACTGCAAGGGGGTTGGATGGCTGCTTTCCAATGCCTGCCTGTGCTCTTCCTCCACAGTTCCAGAAGGTTCTAGGAAGTCCTCTGGGCCCTGCCCCTGCATGCCGCTCTGGGGCTGATGAGACCCCTACTTGAGGCCAGAAGGTGCCTGTGGCCTCAGGTCCTCAGTATCTGCTCCCAGCCCGGCTTTCACCTGCCCCATTCCTGCCGCAGCCCTGGGACCTCACATTGTGGCCCATCCCTAACTCTCAAACCCGGCCTGGCTCCGACCTGTTCCTGCCCTGAGCTCAGACCCAACTGAGCATCCTCCATGCTCCCTAGTGTTCGGCCAGACCCCTGCGGAGGCTGGGCCGACTCCTT